GTAAATTGAAAGACAAAATATTAAGGACATCCTTTGAAAAAATCTCAATAAGAAAATAAGATATGACCTATAATTTTATTTAACAGTAACTTAATTAAGTCAATGTATCTAATTCTTCATGCGTTCTGTCAGAAAAGAATGGAAAACACGACCATTCTATTGAAAAATTTAAATGGGACTTTTTAATCAGATAAAATTAAAAACCCTAATTTTGTTTATGGTGAGTAATGACTGAAGATCGTTCCCAATACATGAACAATACCCATATAGCAATAAATTAGATATACTTCATCATATTTATGACTCTAATCGTCTTAAAGTAATAAAATGTTATTTGACATAAATTATGGTCTAAAGAGATAAATCATCTCAATAAATAGACAAGCTAATGTACACAAATCATTTACTGTGAATTTATTAATGAAACTACCACCTTATTGCTTAAATTAAACTTACAAATGTCTAGATTGTGACGTTTAGAAAAAATATGGTGGATAATGTGTAGATTTGCCATATTTTTGATACTGTAGAATAAAAAATTTGTGGTGACAGTGAAATAAGTACACAGATTTACTGTCGTTTTCCAATGGAAACTTTACTTTGTGAATACCGCACACGTTGACATGTACTGCTAACTGGTAGGACCATTGGATTGGGTCCCAGTGGCTCAATAGTCTACGAGCTCGCCTTGTAACCAGAAGGTCCTGAGTTCGAATCCCGGTGGGTGCGTACTGCTGAAGAGTCTCAAACTAGGACGAAACAGCTGTCCAGTACTCCCAGGTTTTCCTGTGGTTCTCTGACTGATGTCAGCTCATGATTAAATCCTCCATGCAATCAAACAAAATCCCTACAAAACCAATACTTGAAAGTTTGGTTTGTAACGGTTAGTTATGTTTTTACGAGTTGATCACGAATTGATATCAGTTAGAGAACCATTCAGCCGCTGAATACTATACGAGCTTGCCTTGTAACCGGAAGTCCTGGGTTCGAATCCCTGTGGTGGATGTGTACTCCCGATGATTCCCAAACTAGGATGAAACAGCAGTTGTCCAGTACTCCGATGTTGGTTTTCAGTGGTTCTCTAACTGATATCAATCCGTGATCAACTCGTAAAAACTTAATGGTTAAATTGATTATGAATACCTTTCAGTCATTCTGTAACAAGATTAGATTGTTCAAAGTTATAACAATTAAAACTAGTGCACTTTGTCTTATTTACTTTCGAAATAATAATAATTTTCTACTTCAGTGAATAATAATATGAATGTTAAAACTCATTTCAATTCAAATCAACTATTTGTTTAGCAAAATCCACATAACTAATATGATTCTGGGATAGATAGCGGGTCGTCATGCATAACACCTCATCCATTCGCTATACAACTTTATCATTTGATATGGCTCTCCAAGTGATCAATACTCTTCGCCTAAACTTTATGTCACTCTAAGACAAGCGAGTTATGCTGTATGCTGTAGGTAACAATATTTCGTCGTTTTTTGTAACACCGACAGAATTAGTGTTACAAGTGTATTGTAAGCTAGTGGAAAGCAATTAACTGTACCGAGTAAGGTTTTGTTTAGCTTCTCAGGTGTGTCAGCAGCTAACAGGTGTAGATTTTCAGTATTATTACGTATATGTATGCGTGTGGCATATGACTGATAAACAACTATACACTGATTTCATGCTTTGCTTTCTTCACCTACATGTTTCTCCAATACATTATTCTATGTGTTTAAGCACTCCTCTATTTTTGTTTCAAATTGCTTTTTGTGTCTGTCACAATTTATAGTTGTCTTTGTTTTGTTTCTATTCACTAAACAGATGTTATTATTAAATGTACTAAATTAAAATTTATTCGGTTTGCTTCTTTTTCACTTACAAACAGCTTGAAAATTTTCGTGATAATAACACGATTAAAAATAAATATTTTGAATAACAGTATAAGTCTAGCGTTCGTAGGTGAATGCTACCTGAAAGTTAATTGAGAAAAGTCTAACGAATGAATCACACTTCACAACTGATTTAAATATCTATGAGGTAGGCTATCACAGTATGCAGATTTCGACGTTTATTTTAGTAGCTTATTGCATTATGTTTTATGCGTCAGCAGTTCAATGGTAGAACATTCACCAACCATGCACGTGGCCTGGGGTTCGATCTTCGGCTGACTCACTCTTCGTTTGGCCGTAGTAAGCTTGGTAAAGAGGGAAGGCTGGGCGTGAGGTTACCTACCCCATCCCGTGAAAAAAGGGGAAAACCATTGCTACTGAAAATTCAAAGTCCTAGCTTAGAGCCCTACGCTCCATTCGATGTGCAAAAGAATAATAGTACTGATAATTCAGTCTGTATAGATTGTGATTGTATACTTTAGTGAGATGAAGAATAGTCGTAATAGTTGTTGAACGATTGGTTTTCATCAGCCTTACAAATATGCTTTAGTAATGAGTATCATTAGGAAATAACTCTTGGTTGGAAGTCTTTTGTCAGCATTTTAATGCATTTCTTATACACCTATGCAGTAATTTTTCAAGGAAATATAAGCGAATACTATTATTGCCAGTTATATCTTCTTCAAGCTCAATTGTAATATACACAACTTTAAATAGTGATTAACGGATCAGTGAGAAATGCTAAACGTTGTAAATTATATTGCCAATAACAAAGGTGATAATAATATTGATTAAGTAATAATGAAGATAGCAATAGTAACAATCTCAATACAATATAAATCTTTCAATAAATAAATCAGTTTCAAATTTTATAGAATCAAAAGTTACATAATCCTGAAACTGAAATAAACGATTTCCAACTACTTATAGTAGTCAGTAATATATATCATCGTAATATTCCATTTACTTTTTTGCCTATCATTCTGGGTATCAAGATTGTCGCATTTTGTAATCTGAATATTTTTGGTTTGCAAATGTTACCGTGATGACTTTACACCACAGACTGTGTAATTTAAAACTTAAAAACTCGATTCTAAAGACGAAGTAAATAGATAATCAAAAATAAGATAAGTGTAATAAATAAAATTGTAATAAATTTACAAAATGTTTTTTTTTCAAATGAGTTTCTGTGTTTTCTGACTTAGCTTTTATGGTATCATATCTACTGCTTATCTACGCGTCTATTTAACGCCTTTTTTCTGCCAGGTGGTCGGCTTCACATTTGACTCCAGTGTGGATTTTATTTTTCCTTATAATCCGCAGATGAATTGAAAGTTAAGTAAATGGTACTGGTGTTCTTGTTTCCAAACTATCTTGGCATGCGAATTTGATTTTACAGAGATTCCAACTAATTTCAGCAGAGCACAGGGAGGGGTCTTCAGGCTACGGGGGTGATCTCATTGACCATTCAGCCACTAGGTTGGAATCCAGCGTCCTGTAGATTCTAGCTTCTGTCAATTCCCAATATAACGTTCTAACCAACCAATGCAATCGATGAGCATCGAATTTCTTGACCAGGATGAATAGTTTCGAAATAGTTGCATTCTCAGCCCGTTTCTTGTCAGCTAAATTAAAGCTGTTATAATCTTGGATGAATATTTTATTCAGCTTAGCTGGTAATTGGTTAAAATGCTGTTCTGTAAAGTGTAATCAATATGTTCAGATATCAGATATCGTAACCTACAAAGCTTCATTGGCAAACATGGCAGAAACGTGATAAAATTACGATCGATAAATAGCGATTTTTATCCACCTTGATTTCAAACGTATCGGCATGGTGAGAATAACAAACAAGCGATGAAGTACAGCACTGACTAGGACTTATCCTGCAGCGAAACTAATCTGTATGCTTTGAGCATCTCAATCATTGGTGCAGTATCCCTTATATGTTACCGCCAGTTGTATGTATCGACTCACGTGCATCTGTGGGAGCCACTGCACAGAAAGAAAAGGTTATGTCATACCTTCCAAAATTGGACTGAATGGCCTTTGGTCAAAGAAATTGAATGGTCTCGTTACCTCAGTCTGTAACCACCTGGTGAACACTGGGCACCAAGTTGACACGTCGAGGAGAGTTACCTTGTGTTTCATCGTTTTTTGCTCCAATGATTTCCGTACTAAGTTTCAACAATGTATCCTACTCTTTGTATTTTATTTTGGCCTGTTTGCGTTTCTTACAAACTTACAATTCTTGCTTAAGCAATATCTTCATTTTTTAATATTGCTACACCGACAGCAATTTTTTGTCGAGAACTTTTGTCCCAATGAGGCATGTATGTGTAACACTTTTACCAATCATATAATACTTCAAATACGTGTTTCACTTAAACATGACGTTGTTACACTATCCATTACTGTGGAACTGATTCCTATTAGTGTTCCAAAGTAAATTGAAACTGTGGTATTAAGTGTTACAGATTGCACGACTACGAAATAAGGTGAATACATTTTATTCTGCTCCATTGTTTGTCCTAGCTCTCTCTACAAATGTTTTTATTGTCCATCTCATACATTTCATGAAAACTGTTCATGTTCGTAGTCATTTCCTTACAAAGAAAAACGAATCTCTTCTTTCTCAACCTCAAGCAAACAATATAAATACACCAGCGTCAACCAACTTTTCGGTGAAATTGTTTTTAATTCCCTTGCGTTCCGCGTGAAACATAGGGCTTCAGGATTGAACTTTTAAGCTTCAGCAGTGGTGATGACTTTTTCCTCGGGGTACGCTTACTACCCCCACGCGCGACCTTCTCTTTTTACCTGGCTTATTACCGACTAGTCTAGTTTAGGTGTGCGTCGGCCATGTGCATGGTTGGTGAGAGCTCTACCAATGAACCACCGATGCATTTGTTGGTGAAGTCGTCTTCCATTATCCATGACTAATCCTACGCTATACGATAAGTTGAAATTCATAACGAAAACTAATTGCTTCATATAATAAATCATATATTTATAGTGCCTCCTATCGTTTAATGATTTGTATTGTTTCCCTAGGTCACTGTTCTTTGACTTTTCCACTTCAGATAGGCTGTTTTCATTTTCATTTCTAGGTCGACAAGATTCCTCATCAATAATTCATCAACAGTCACAAGCACGTTGTTTACCAACATCTAATACTGCTGGCCGAATAAATAATTCATCAAGCGTAATTAACCATGATGAAATGGAACTTGATGAAGAAGGAACTGTACGTCATTTGAATGCTTCACAACGCATAAAATTAACTGAAGATTTAGCTGTTGTTGAAACAAATATCAATGTTTTGAATGATTTGTTAGCTGAACTAAGACCTGATACTGTGACAACTGATGATTTAAATTTGCTAAAAGTAAGTTTTATTCATGATTCTGCTTACTGTATATAATTTAATATATACTTCCTGGTTATGCCTCAGATTTGATGATAAGTAATACAGTTTTGAGTTTTCTGATTGAAACAGAAAGCTTTCTAATGCTACAGAGATACTTTATTTATCGATGATATCACTTCAGTGAAATTTGATTGATGTCTGAGGTAATCGTGAGCCCTGGAATTCGATCGACACTTAGAATTAGACAACAGCACAGTCCTATGGGTGTTTGATGATGACCCTAATGGGTAAAATAGTAATGCTTATTGTTGCAGTACTAGGTTGTATGATATCTAATCACTGAACAGCTGTCAGTTACACAAGAGCTGCAGAATGAGCCTTATCGATAAGCCCTAAAGTACAAGGCTTGGTAAAGCATATGCTACTGTTAATTTGGACTAAGGTGATTGTTGCTAAAATTAGCATAGGTTATGACTGAAGTGGAACCAGTATAATGTTACGAAATATATTACATGACAGATGAATGTTATTCAGTTTAAGGCTTCAGAACGAAATGTATCCAAAGATAACTTCTTTGAACTTCTTACTGAGGTGGTTTTTCGTACAAACTGACTGAGCGATTATCTGTTTTAAAGGCTTCAAAAAGAACACGAGAACAAAGGACAATATAAAAATACATTTCTTACTTCTGTGATAAAACTTTAAATACTTTTAAATACTGACTAACAATAGTAGATTTGAATTACGTCTAGTTTAAGACATGGTCACAGTCAAGCATAGTTTATACATTTTTCTGCCTAACTTGTAACTGGCGTGATCTATGTGTATCCACAAGGCTGTTTATTGAATAAATATATTCACAACTCTGTATAATGACATGATTTTATTCGTTACAGTAAAGTGCTGTTGATATCATAAAATCTAAATAATAAGTGAAAGTCTTACCTTCAGTCTGTACTAACCAGAGTATCCTGTACGATAAATATGTAGCATAAAAATGAATTGTCGCACATACATCTACTTTGTGTGATGATAAATAAATATTTGGATATATTGTTTATGTTGAAACTGACGTAAATTGTGTAGTTTTCTGTTGGTCTGGTTATCCGATTGATAAAATGCACGATGACATGTAGTATAGTATAGTGTAGAATGTTGCTTACTCAATGACGTTTTAATAACAATTTATAATGCATAATCGTGTCAAAATAATAGTCACACTGTATTCAAAAACTTTAAGGTGAACTTTCAGGCATGTACCAATCTCAAATACTGAATAGTGGGAAGCTAATGAACACTAAATATTTGTTGACTTCTAACAAGAAAGTACATTGCACTAATCAAGACACTATTCAAACTCACGTATCCGTGTAAGGGCTTATGGGGAATTGTCATCTGAATTGATAACAACCAGTGGTGGCCGACAGGGATGTCCACTTTCCTCATTTCTGTTTAACTTCATCATAGATATGCTAATGGAAATATCCTTAACTGAACTTAACGACTTAGAAATCGACTTGTTACCAGGGTATAGTCTTATGGAGTTAGAATATGCAGATGACATAGACCTGTTAGGGGAGGATGATGAAAAACTGCAGAGTCTTCTGAACACCTTGAGCAGGAATCTTCGTATGTTTGGCATGCGATTCGCCCCTGCAAAATGTAAGATGCTGCTACAGGACTGGACTACGTCAACTCCTAGCTTAGTGATAGGGAGTGAAGTGATAGAACATGTTGAACACTCCACCTATTTGGGAAGTTGTATCAGCACCAACGGATTGATTGGCGGTGAAATCTCATCACGATCCAAAAAGCTCGAGCTGCTTTCGCTAGCTTGCACTATCTCTGGCGTAGGCGTGACATCCGGCTATCAACCAAGGGACATGTGTACTGCTCAGCAGTTCGCTCCGTCCTTCTCTATGGCTCTGAAACATGGCCAATACGAGTTGAAGACATGAAAAGTTGACTGTTTTTGGTCATAGATGTCTGCGATCTCTTTCTCACGTTAGGTGGTATAATAAGGTAAGTAATGTTGACGTTAGGCTCAAAGTTTTGGGCAAAGAGGGAAAATCAATCGACGAGGCTATAAAGTTACATAGATTGAGAGGGCTAGGTCAGGTGCTGCGCATGCCTAACCATCGCCTCCCCCGACGGGCATTACTATCTGATATAGATAGGTGCAGGTTGGAAAAGAGTAAGTGGTGGCTAAACAAAAACATGGCCTCATCAATCCATGAAATCTTTGACAGCTAAACTGAGTCAGGTAGGGGGGTGCAGACTTCCGGTTTGGTGCCCTCGGGACTCTAGGAATCAATGGTTGGAGACAACAGGTGCCATGGCTCAAAATCGTTGTCAGTGGCGCAGATGTATTCAGTCTCTGTAATCTTTCATATTCCTTTCTACCATTGCCCATTCTGTTTCACTCTTATACTTGTCAAACCCTATTTGTTCTTCTCACCAATCTTTTTGTCTACGTTTGTGTGCTGTTTTGGAACGTGGCAACTTGAACTGCTGCACTTCGGTGCCAAGTTCTGATTTGAGTTCTTTGGAAACGTTTATCCATGACGACATGCAGAAGATATTCTAAGGCTTCAAAGTGAATAAGTTATGATTAAGTTAGTGGTTTGAAATACAGTCGCTAAAGGTTCTAAATTTCTACTCTGTTTTATTTTCGCAAAGAAATATTTTTTAAGTATTGGTTTGGTAGGGACTTTTTTGATTGGTTAAAGGATTTCATCGTGAGCTGAAATCGGTTAGAGAACCATTAGAAAACCTGTAGGGAGTGTTTGACAGCTGTTTCGTCCCAGCTTGGAACTCCTTGTCAGTACGCACCATCGCCACAGTTCGAACCCATAACTTTCTGGTTACAGGGTGAGTTCGTAGACCATTAAGCTACTGGGACCCTATCCAACAGCCAGTGCATGAATTCTAACTTTTGCCTATTCACGAAATAGCGCTACCACCTCTCAATGTCTTCTTCGATGAGTTATTGCCTCACCTTCAACTTGCTATACCCTACTGCTCAAGACTTCTCACTAGAACCCCACGCTGACTCCCTGAATAGGGCCAGTCTCTAATGAGCATCAGATCAATTTCCAAGTATTCGGTTTCATTGGATTTCGTAATTTTTTATAGTGTCATCTTACCTCACCAAAATGATGCGCTTTGTTTGACATCCAGGCATCATTACGTGATTAACCTGATGTAACAATTAGTTTTACTTTGATTGTTTTCTATTTGACAATAACCACCAATGGAAACTTCGTTCCGTTTAAGGTCTATTGGCCGCATATTAATAGGTTATGATGTATTCAGAGAGGTAGAAGCACGTAACTGATCGTTTCCATAGACAAAGCATTATCTACCAAACTCATGCTTTAGTTGTACTTCATTGGTCCTGGCACTTGATTTTTAACACTAGAACTTTGATTCCTAATCTTGTTCTGTCTTATAGGATTTGGGTAGTAACTTCACTCCAACTCCATTATTAATTGGTAATATTTTTTGAGAAAGAACTGATGATTTTGAGATCGACTGGAAAGTTAAGTTAGTGTGTTACCAGAGAATCTAGAATTACGACAAAATATCTGCACACTACCCAATAACTCTGTGAGTGGTCTTGATTATAGTTCCATATATTTGAACTTTCAATTCAGAAGTCTGATGACCTGAGGTCATTATACTTAACGTCAGATAGTATTTTTTATAAGGTCCACTTCTGCTTCACATTGAGGGTTTTCCCTTTTACCAGTCTCCTATTTTTGAGCTAAGGTTAACAAAGATATCAGCTTGACCTAAAGTGGTTCCTTGTTTGCGGATATTTTTACAAGCACATCAGAAGAATGTTTAAAATACCAGGGTGATGAACAAAACTCCTTCTTGACTGTTAGTTTTTAGGGATTAAATTTGTTTCAGGTTTGACCGCGGATTGGTACCAGTTAGAGAACCACTAAAAACATGGAAGTACTGGACAGCTGTTTCGCGCTAGTTTGGGACTCATCGGCAGTACGCACTCAATGGGGTTTGAACTGAGAACATTCCGTTAGCAAGAAAAGCTCGTAGACCATTCGGTCACTGAGACCTGAATCAATAACCCGTGGGTTCTAACTTTTGCCAATTCCTAATTTTAGAGCGACCGCCAGCTAATATCGTTGGCGAATATCTATCCTCACTCCCGATCAGATGAATTCCATTGTTCACGACTTCTCACTATAGAACTCCAGGTAACCTCGTCCTGTAGCCAGTCACTGACGAGCATCAGATTAATTTTCAAGAGATAGTCTGTAGGTATTATACAAATTGTCCGTTGAAATCAGGTCTTCCCACTGAACTTTTAATTTCAATGTTCATTTTGAATGTTTACTCAATATTTTCCAGTTGATTCATACACTCAGTTAACTGTGTTTATATTTCAAATGCAGTCTACATACTTATAAATCAGTCAACAAAGGTTGCTTTAAAATCTTTGCTGTTTATCGCAGAAAAATAATGTGGTTTCGTAGCGTCCTGTAGATTGTCAGCAAAAGTTAGAAGCTGATCGACTGTCTTTGATTAGCGTTCACAGTATAATATCTGATTCCTGTGTATAATTTAGTTCCAGAAAGAGACCTTGAATTTTCCCCTGAGTGATGCATACTTGGAACTCATAGGTAAGTATAAGGTTTCCAACTGACAAATGTATATCAGCATTAGACTTAAGATGAAGCAGTTTAGCTTATCAATTAAACTCCCAACTTCGATAATTTTAGGTACATTAATAAGCTTCATATAAATCTACTTACAAATTATATATTTTTTCAGATAAAATATATACTTACTTTTCTTTGTTTATGTTTCAAATGTATCTGTTATTTTATAATTAGGAATTGAATTGTACTTGTCGTGCTATGCATCAACGTGTTATGGAGTTTTTAAGTCAAGTATCGGATGAAGAAGTGACGCCGAGTTTAATTCAAGTTAATGATAATTTGACACATGCACTTTCACGGTTAGTTTTAGAGAATTTTTTTTTCATTTTTGCAGTTTAAATTATAGTTCTATTTGGTGTGTGCCAATTTATTCTGTTTGTGTATATATCTCGGCTATCAGTAGTTATTGTCACAATAGACAGTATGAATAGCGCATTAGAATTCATCTTCTAATAAAGTCGGTGTTAACCTGTTGTATTCCGATTGATCATTCATTCTTTCACATACGCATTGTTAGCCTTTTTTAAATGATTGTATAATCTCCTCCCGAGTGGATTGATTTTAGAAGCTTATGTTAGTTTTAAGAACTTTTATGGCTCACCTAATCTTCTGGAAGTTTAATCTTACAATATTTCTGGGGTAAGAATGATAATTTAAGATGATATGAAGATCTCACTCGTTAGTTTCTGACATGTAATCATTGGGTTACTATAGTTTGATGACTAACTGACGTAATTTGCCACGATGAGGTCTGTTTTACCTACTGATACTCTTATGAGCAGTCGATTAGTAGTTCTGTGTCATCTACTACAACTAGAAGATGAGGCTTAGCAAACAGTGTGTTGATATTGAGTGACAAGAAAAGTTATGTATGCTTCAGCACAGTCAGATCGTTGACTCATGACTTCTTATTTGATTCATTCATTGACTCTGATTGTTTCTTCAATTTCACTTATCAATCTTCTCAAGTAATGTTATATCACGTAAATGGCTGTTTCATTTAAATGTGACACTACTACCACCATAACCAAATTTATTCCAATATGGTTTGAATGCAAGAAACCCACCTCTATGTTCTACTGTGTAACCGACGAAACTTCACTGAGACTCGCGTTATCACGACACGTTCCAAAGGTAGGGAAAAGACACTTGTTCTTCAATATTTTAGGGGTTCTGATAAACAGTAGTAACATCAAAACTGAAATTTGCCGCAGTAGTGCTGTGAGACAGCTATACAGGGAGTTTAGGCTTCTAAATACAAAACAAGTACTGTAAGACAAAATTAGGTAACCAAAGTTCAATTGTAAAGATTACCTTAGGATGGTGGAGAATATTCCCAAAGAGGTGGGATCAAAATCTCTGTTCTCACGAATCACACACTAACGTTTTTCGCAGATAGTCCTGCTTCAAAATGACCTTCATTCATTCAAAAGGAACCTACATAGTTAAACAATACATTGTCGGTGTACACACAACCACAAAGAGAAGCGTTGCAATTAAAGATTAAACAAGGACAAAGGCAAATAATAAAAAGTCAAACGTGAACATGTGATAGGCAAATGTCAGATTAATGATGCACAGTCTAGGAAAAAAAAGGGTATGATAATTACGAAGTTAGTTGAAACATCTAAATAAGTATAAATTTTATAAATTGATCGTTCAGGAGGGGTTTTCCAAACCATTATTCGTTTACTGCCACTTTTAAAGATGAAAACTTCCTCTATGTCGCAATCCTAATTAACCTGTTTTTACATTAGCAAAGTTTCTGTTACTTTATTTTAGTTTCTGAAATATTTTTGCCTTTCATTTTTCTACCAGTAGGTGTAAGAAATGGGTTGCCTGTATGTCTGTGTTTTGAGTTTGTGGATACTAATCAGTGTGACTGATTTTGTTGGCAGATATTAATTGAATTGACAAACTCTTTACCGTCGTCACAGACGTAACTTAGTCACTTCAGCCGTTTTCCATATTCATAGGTTTTTAATCAGTTAACCTATTCTGATCTGCGAATTTCCGTGAAGATGTCGGTCATTGGATTCAGGAGAAGTGAAAAAATCGCGACATAGCTCTCTCATTTCTGAGTTATGTTGCTGACATACTAGAGCATATTTACCCTAAGAACGTGAAGAGACAGGAGGAAGCATCCGCTTAATTCCCACTGACCCTAACTACCTCCTCCCATCTAATGTAAATACATTTTACTTATGGAAAGATGACGTATTTGGTAGCGTTTGATTTTCTCCGTTATCGATTCCGCTTCAGAGAACTGGTCGATCAGTCCGGTGGCATATAGGTTACTTGAGTAAGGTAACCTTTAACTTCACTTTGATCTCGTGACTTGATAGTTGTAACGATTGCAGTGCTAGTTACTGGCTTCGAGTCTCGATGGGGACATTGTCAGTCTCCAACATATTTGTATATCTAACTGACAAGGGGTAGCTAGGAACAAACTCATATACGCGATTTCAACATTATCAACCACTAAGTGAATGTTATCATTAATTTCGTCAGCAGGACTCAACATTTGTAGCAGTATACGTTATAATACACCTTGATTACAGAAAGCATAATGAGATGTGACACGTTTGGCATGGTGATAATCGTATTTAGTGACAAATTGTATCTAAGTAATGAGATGCCATATTCCTCACAAACCTTCACTTGTCAGTTATATGTAGTGTAAAACTTCACCATTTATGTTCGAACTCTACTGCACAATAGACACTGTAACAGTAAATAATATCCAGTACATAATGTATGGGTTTGAGAGTCAATTAGCTTAAATTTAAGATAGTCATAAGAATAAACACTAAGAACACTAGTGTTACTCAGGTTTTCAAATTTTTACCTTATGACATGTTGATGACACTAGGACGCGTAGTTTGTACAAATCTGTTTCAATCATAGCAACAGTTCTTGTGAGTTAAGTGCTCTTTCGGTTACTGAATATAGAATTAACATTTCCATCTCTAAGTCTGATACCTTATATTTTAAGAATTCAATTCAGTAACAGCTAACCGAATTGCCTTAAAATGGGAGATAATCTACTAATTGCGCCCAGTGATGACTAATGCGAAATGATCTTGATTCTGACGGTTGCCAACAGGGACGATGCCTATCCATGTGTTTGAAGCTAATACTAGACAAAAATAGGTGGCTACCTTAAAAATAATTGTATCATTCAATCAGCGATATCGGGTTTCGTAAATATCCCAGATATATACTTCTGATTGGCTCAGTCTCCTTTATTCAGCATTAAAGTTATCCAATGAACTGACAACATCCTGTTCTTTTGGATTTTGTAGCACACTAGATAACTTTCAGGTCATTTCATCCTTTAATTCATCTAAACTGCAATCAGTTGCATCCACCATTGTCACTCATACATTATTGACTCATTCATGAAATGTTCAGTTATATGACAGGTTGCTTTTGTCGTAAAAAGAAAAGCTATCAGTAATAAAGCATACTTATGTAAAAATTGATCACTGTTACCGATAATATTGGCTGAGTGCTGTTTAAAAATAACTGACGTGTTATTTGGCTTATTATTATTGATATATTCATGCTAAATAGCCTAATTATGATGAAATAAAAAATATATGATATAGAATTGAACATTTTTTTACTGTGACGGGTGTAACAACATTCAGTTATGTTTCCGGTGCAGTATCTTAATAAACAATTAATATTTCATATATAAATATGGGTACTCCTGATCTTAGAAAGAAGATACAAATCAGACAGTTGTTAAATCTAGAAGGTAGCATTTCCACTTGAGGCTCATCAGTTAGGTGCCCACTGTTCTAGTATTCTTAATGGGTCTTCAACTCAGTATCAATTGCTTGAAATGAAACAACAGTATTAAGCCACTGAATGATATATGATAGCTATTTGTTATTATTAGTTTAAAGAGCTCATAAATCAAAAGAGATTGATTATTTCATTTCAGTAAGAACAACACCAGGAAGTTAACGGTATAAAAAGAAGTATACCATGAGGAATAATGACGGTAATCATTTTCCAGTAAACATGATTCATGATGTCCTTTAGATATTCATTGGGTAGATTATGCGAAAAGAAAATCAACAATAACACTCTGGTTTTAAAAGTTTTATTCAAATTTGTTGGCACTGAGACTTGTTCACACTGAACTAAATAAATAGTTTAAGACTAGCACTTAAATCAGTGGTCTATAGCTAATTCATTTTGTCATACATGAATGCCATCCAGTACACCCCTTTGTTCAAAGTACCGTTTGAGCTCAATTAAAAGTGGACAGATTCTTCATGTACCACTCTGAGAGCCACAGCTATTGTGTGAAAGCTTATGGTGTGGTGAGAGCAGGCTGCTAGCCGATTGGTTGGCACTAATCTACGTTAAGGTCTAGGTCACTAATATGGGCCGTGAGAAAATATGAACAAGACTGAGTCAACAACCAATCGCAGCAAAGTTAACGTGGCAAAATGTGATTCGCAGATAGAGAACTCGATTTGTCAAGGAATCCGAAACAACCAATCAGAAGCCTGCGTTTGTCTACCCAAACAACCAATCAGATGACTGCGCTTGTCTATAATAATGTTGTCTGAAATATGTATAAATACGTGTTGATTTCATAATAAAACGATCTGTTGCCTGGCCCTTGTCTTCTGTTGTTACAATGGTACTACCTAGCGGAGCAGGACTCGGGCCTGGAAACCACTGGCTGAAAGTTGAGTCTTTAAGCTAATTAGCTACATCTTCACATGACACATAGGTGGTATAGACTGTAGGTTGCAGGAAGTACGGATGTGTCCACTGTTTTGTCACTGCGACCTTACCAGTACCAATGCAAGTCTGTCAGTCTCATTTAAAAGTTACGAGTGAATGTTGTAAACTTGAACCATATTTTATTGTATTATAACAATAGTAAAGGGGCGTATACGCCTCTACAATTTCTTGAAAACTTGAACCAAAAACAGTAGAGAACCTCATAGACAAGATAATATCAAAATGATATACAGAACTACTGAATAATGGCTCAAGCTTCAACAAATCATTTCCACATATAAAGTAGAAAGTAACAGAAATGAGAGGCGATTTTTAAAAGTCGCAGAAGAAAATTAGAAGTACAATTAAGGTACACTACAGAGAGATTTGTAATACCGTAACTGATCACTGGTAGTTGCACCATTCAAAGTCTCAGGTGGATCCTTCCCTGATAGACCAATAGACAATAATCACGTATTTTAATACAGTCAACTCTTATCCTAATTGAAATTAGACTTATCATCCGGATAAGTGGTCAGCTTGCATACATAATACTTTAATACTAGATTCTTAGGATTCTCCCATGAATGAAATTCAGCGAATAGTGGCTCTACTGCTTGTAATCTTTCCCCATTTATGGTCTGTTAAAAGTAATCGAGTCAACAATAAGCGAGCATGTCGACGTAGTAGACTGTTAACCCTAGTTAACTAACTTACCTGAACTGTTGCTTAGTTTTCTTTTAAAAGCTTGACACTTATATGTTTTTCCTTTTCACAGTACCGGTGACTGAATCAATTATTGACCTTTTGGTCTTATGAACTTGAATTAAAAAAAAACTGAAAATATTTTCCTCTAGTGATTTATGTATTCATAGATACAGCATATGGTTCACTCCCTGTACGTGTGTATATACATCAGTATTAGTATGGATACTTGCTTTGTTGTTTACTGAAACATTTTTGCGTTTTTTCTCTTACACACAATTATTTCGTCTTATTTTCACCTTTTTATGATTCCAGTTTTCGTACTCTGCCTTCTTCCTTTCCTTCTGATAATATAAACAATCACGTTTGAAAAACCTAGAGATTGGTTCCGCTTTATTCTTTCTTATTGACGAAAATCGATTTTAATATTCTTCTTCTGCTATTAATACTATTACTAGAATATAAATCACTCACTTTATCCTCTTCTCTGTCTTACCTTCCTCCTACATTACCTTTTATGTTTGCTTCGTTAGCTCTAACTGCTTTTTAAGCGTGTTGTTCAACTGTCAACTACACAATCACCTTATATTTCCTGAAATTTGGTGAATAATCAATCAACTTTTTTCCTTCTTGTTTGAATTCATAAACATGCATTTATGTATATACCACAGAATTTAATCTGGCTTCGAATTACAGCTATTAGTTTGATAAATATGATCAAGGGAGATGGTTAAAAGCTGAAACGTAAAACAAAGACCCCTAACAAGATTTAAATTAGCAGCTTTCAGACTAAATTCAGTTGCTAACCTGGTCTAAATTTACTTGGCTTTCTTCTAGTTTTCGTTTGAGGGAACGGTACTCAACTGTTCTTTTACCGTTATCCTCACATACAGGTTGCCCTATAAGTCTTTCCCACCTAGTTCGAGTCATACGAAGACGAAGGTGATTAGTCGTTGGCCAGAACATTGCAGATAGTCAAATTTCAGCTAATTGTTTTCATGTAGTTATTTAGTTTGATTTCATAACTCATCTGACTGACTCCTGGTCCTGAGGTATTATTGAGTTTTGTGTTGGAGATCCAATAATCACTGTTTTACGAATTACACGGTCGCACTAAAATCAAACCTTTATCTTTCTCCTGCAAAAATAACACTTCATAAGGCAAATTACTCCACTTTAAAACTTCTTTATTTGAATGTGTTATTCAAAATGACGCATACGCAAATGCTTTTTATGGCCATGAAAGCGTTACACTAAACATCGGATATTGAACATTTAACAATGAATTTTCTATCGGTTTGTTTATATCTGTTAAGACACATATTGATTACTTGATTTGTTTTCTTATTCGTATCCTTATATCTCAACAGTATGATATTAAAGAAAATCATTATTCTTTTTTTCGACATTTCAATAAACAATTTTATATACTCTCAATAAAAGAGTTGATGAAGTTATTTTATTGTTTCTCTCATTGTTTTTATTACTTTATCCATTATATTTAGTTATATATCATATTTCCTCATTTAATAGTAGCATATCTTATCACGAAAACACACCAATTGTTAAAGTCACGATTACATACGAATATCGACTATACGCTGTCAACGTTTCCTACTATTTCTAGTTGATTCACTCAGCCAGCTAATTAATGAAGAAGATACAAAGACATGTAGGAAGTGTTTATCAACCTAGGATGTATGACAAAACAGTGATAATATATAATACAAGGCATAATTCAGGACTAAGACTGTAGAGGAATTTAAACAAAAGGTCGAATCTAATCGATGACTTATCAGTTTACCTACTGATGAAGGTTGACACAGAGGGTATTTCGACTGGTTCATTTCCTGCCTAGATGTTCGACCCTCCTATCATCTGACTATTTTTGCAAGGAAAGGTTACTGTGGGGGAACGTGGAATTGTAATGTTTGTTTCGCCTACAGTATCACCATTATCAGAGAGTAGTAACTTGTTAGGTGGCTGGTTAGCAGCTTTCCCGGCGTACTTTACACTTTGCATCACGGATGTATAATCAGTCAGTGAATACGATTTGAATAACCTAAAATTGCCCTCTTCTCACTAAACATAAATTGCTTATTGTCTTTGTGATATGTTCCTTTGTAGATCATTCGTAAGAGTTTTAACAGAATCAATCTGAATAAGAGCATGTCTTTTTAAATTCTTAGGATTAGGAACGTGTCTCATTTACTTCCCTTACAATCTAACATTAATTAATCGGTTCATTTGTTTTTACTAGCCTTTATCGACTACCTCCACCTGAACATTTGTTTGTTTAATCATGCTGTTTTTCATTATTCGTGTTATCACAGATTGCCTCACTTTTTCATCCTTATTATTGATAAAACCATTATTATTATTATTATTACTATTACTATTATGACTAACTGCACAATTTATATTCACCATCTTATTATCCTATAGACAAAACACTATGATTGGTTTATATTTGAATTTTTATTTTTAAACTTATATATATTAGAGTTAAGCCTGACGAGATCTAATTGAAAACAATATTGTTCGCTGAAATGTGTTGTTCTAAATTTTACTATGGGAACATTTAATATATTGAAATCTCGTGGGGATCCTATTGCATTTAAGGCACTCAATGAGTAGCTGAAGTTTAGTTCAAGGCTCGCTGAAGCGAAAACATAGTGGAATTTTTCAAAGAATGTGTAGAAACCGAACGTTATCCCAAACTATATTGGAGGTCGTTAAGACCAATGAGGATTTATCCTAATCCTAAGAATTTAAAAAGACAGTCTCTTAATCAGAGTATTCCGCATGATATGACGGAAAGTCATATGAGAAAAACTATGAAGACATAAGTCAGCTAGAAGTATTTCTTACGTAACCCCTCTTCAAAATTGTACAGATAAACAGTATCTTAAAAAGTTGTAGAAAACACCCATGAAGGTCAATCATCAATATATACATCAGTTGATTAAAAACAGAAGACGTTTGACCAATCATGACCTTAGGCCTACTTTTTTTTACTAGTACAGTAATTTGCTATATGATCCATCCTCATTCTTTTCTCCCCCATTTTTCCAACTTTCAGCTTTAGTTCTGAATCTCTTATCCTTATAAAAGACATTCCTGTTTTCAAGCACTTACATTTTTTATTGTGATAATCGTTTCTGAACGCTACTCACCACTAAATATTTGCAGAATGCTTAGCAAAAAGTTTTTATCCTTGATATAAAATTTCATGTTTCGTTAGCAACCAATACTGACATTTCCATGATCTTTCAGGACACTCTATGAATGCACAGATGTTCTAGGATGTCACGAAAGGAATCATTATTTGCTAACTTACATCTTTTTTTAATATAACACAATGTCTAGTGAATTTAGTCGTCGTCAGTTTATTAATGTGTTGTTATGTCTAATTTTGTGTGAACAGTATATAAAACCTTTAACTGTTTTACCTCAATAAATCTCTTATTTTGAGTTAATTAGTTTCAGTATGTCTACAGTTCAGTTATTGATTTTATTTGCATTCACGTTTTAAGCTGAGAAGACTGAACTGTTTACTAGACTACCAAAAATTGTTTCTTTTTTTCAGATGAAGTTTATGCAACGGTGTTTCCTCTTTTGATTGGACACTAGTAACCAGTGTCATGCTTCTAGGTCTTTGTTTCATGCAGACTGAATTCTATCGGTCAGGTTTGCAATGTGGCCACCACTCTATGTAGCTAGCCATCAGGGTACACTTTGAATTGTTGATATTAGAATGTTGGAGGCAATCAGCAGGAAGACTTGGGCCTAGGTTTTTTGCTAGTTGGCACTCGTCAGTAAGGTGTATCTGGAACCTTGAAGGAGCTCATGTTCCTTCCTTTATGCAAACAATTCATTCAAAGTGATGGATACTGAGTCGAAGTTTCAGTTGGAAATCAACGAAATACGAGTTCTTTAAAGAAATCTATAATTATATAACCTTATTTGTATCATATGAAATGCTTCCCTAGTAGGAATTTTCACGTTATTACACCTGGATACATTGAATAGTAACATTCGCCTACTTTTTGTTTAGATATGACCGGTTCGAACGTTATTATCAATTGTCTTTACAACATTCTGATGGCAATTCAAATAGTAACAGTCAACAGTCAAATCGTCAACTTTGTCTAGACAGCTCTAGACCACAGCTTTGTTTAACTGGTCCATCGGGAGATAACACTGATTCAAGACGGAATCGATCAAACCAACAGCAGCAGCAACAACAATTAGCAATTACAGCTGGCCCATCACGTCGATCAACCAAAACTTCATGTATTCCTAACGGTAGTACTGTTGGCTATCGTGTTAATGGTGTACAAAATCATCAAAGAGAAGTTAGTGATAATAACCTTGGTGTTGATGATGGTGACGACGATGATGATGATGAAAGTCTTTTGGACATAAGCGAAGGACCTAGTGGTGTAAGTGATGTTTTACTTGTCTATTTATATTGCTTGATCATGAGTTGGCACAAATTGGAGAACTATTAGAAAATCAGAGAAGTCCTGGACAGCTGTTTCATCCTATTTTGGGATCCTCATCAGTACGCAATAACCGAATTCCTAATCCAGGACCCTCAGGTTATAAGGTCAGCTCGCAGACCATTCAATCACTAAGACTTGATTTAATGGTCCATGAATTCCAACTTCTGCCAATCTGCAATATGTAGCACAACTGCCGGCTAAAGTCGTCAGCGAGTAGCTGTTATCTTGCCTGTTTTAGTGAACCTTGCTGGCCCTCCATGAATATGAATTCAGTGTTTCTTGATGTCCATCAACAAAACAATTCTGTGAAACTATTTCCACACGATACTCTGGATATCATCACCTTCACAACTAGTGGTTTCGGACATACAATCTTTATTAATATCTACTACGATGTTGATTTAACTTGTGTAAAGAATATCTGAAATGAATGTGTGATTACTTAACGCGTCTACTCATTTATTCCTAAATAAAATTACATTCCATCCATCGATTGGTAACCGTAACTTTGTCGCTAAAAAGGTTATTTAAAAAAGCAGTTTGAAAATTGTTAGTGTCGGTGAAATGGGAATTTTTCCCCCAAATTATGCATAAATTTAATTATTGGGTATGCGATATCTTTTATGGGATAATAACTTTTCCCATAAATATTCACTCTTTTTCCATTGCTTTACACATTTGGATAGATTTTACTTTTTGTTAAATTATTTGTCTTATTCTGTGTACACCAACATATATAAAATGTCCAATTGTTAGTCTGTGGGGATTTGATTGGTTTCAGGATTTCGTCATGACTGATATCAGTTTGAGGACTATTAGAAAACTTTGGAGTACTGGATGGCTGCTTCATCCTAGTTTATTTCTCTTCATCGGTACGCACCCACTGAAGTTCGAACTGAGGATCTTCTGGTTACAAGGTGAGCATTAAGCCACTGAGACACGATCCAACGGCCAGTGCATGAATTCGAAATTCTGCCAATTCACAATATGAAGCTACCACTAGTCAGTGTTATAGCTGGCGAGTATGTGTCCCCACATCTGCAAACCGACACTTGAATATCAGTCTAGTGCTCACTAGTGACTGACCCTATTCAGGTAGGTAGTTACTTGGGTTCTAGAGGAAATTCGGGACCATTAGGGTACAACAGATCGGCTGTGAGGACAAATAGTCTCCAACGATAACATTCATTAGTGGCCGAACCATTTCGTGAATCGGCAGAAGTTGAAATTCATGCACTGGCCGTTGGATTGGGTCCCAGTGGCTTAATGGTCTTGGAGGTGCCCCTGTAGCCAGAGGGTTCTGGGCTCGAATCCCAGTGGGTGGGTGCGTACTGATGAAGAGTTGGTCCCAAACTAGGACGAAACAGTTGTCTAACACTCCCTGCAAGTTTTTTAACTGATATCAATTCATGATGAGAAAAGTAATAAAGGGTCTATTTCAATGTAGATTTCGTCATGAATCAACATAGGTTAGAGATGACTGAAAACTCATAATCTAAATACCAATCTTCAACGTATTGATGAGTACGACATGGCTGTTCTAAAGCTGTAATGATAATTCGTGACCAGTTTTGTAGATACTAATCGACGACATTAATTAAGGGTAGCACCATATCACAAATGGACAAAGTTGAAATTCACAAGTCATTGAAACCCGTATAAAGCAAGTGGATAGTCAATGGGCTTGGTTTCATAGCACTAAGGTTTCTGGTTCGACCGGTGGCGGCGTCGTGGGTGTGCACTGCTAAGCAGTTCCAAACTATAGTAAAACAGCTGTCTAGTGCTTCCTGGTTTTCAACGGTTTGTAACGAAATTTACAGTGAAATTAATCCAAATCTCTACGAAAACACCAATTATCGAAAGGGTCTGTTGTTCAAGTAATTGTGTATTCTTTCACTGCACAAAGTTATTCAAGCTTGACCCATGAAGCTGTGTGCATAAAAGCAAGAAGTATCATAATGGTTTATTCCGCTGTTTGATATGATTTGTTAGATACCATTCAAGTCAACCACTAATATTTACTAACTAGATCGTAATGTTCTAAACTCGGGACCTTAGTTTTACTCGTTTGGAATTGGACTCATTATTGGTATACCTGGTGTGACTCAACTCAGGTAACCGAACCACTTTAAACCACACACAATCTGGTTAGTTATGTGGGTGAAATAGCGACACACAGAATATCATTAAAGTCGGCTGACTATACTCCAATTATTTCTACGTATAATGTAGTATTTCTGTGATAGTTGACGTTCCTATGGTTCGGTCTAAATGTGATCTTGAGTTCTTTTGGTTTTTGGTAGTGCTTCAGATGACTTTGGTTCATGGGGAAAGCTGACCTAAAAACAGCCAACTACGTGAAAGTCCATGGGATAACCTGATAATAATATGTGTATGAAATCCAGTTATTCGTAAATGACACTGATACGTTCATTCAATGAGTCTTGCAGTTAGATAATATCAAGGTTTGAGCTTTTAATCGGTTACTTTTAAGATAAATCATGAACCAACAGCAATTGAAAAACCGTTGAAGATCAGGGAGTAATGAACAGCTATTTCGTTCCAGTTTGGTACTCTTCAGCTCCACGCACTAGCTGTCGAACTCTGAATTCCGTAACTTTCTTGCTTAGCTGTAAATTGTGTTTAAATTTGATACTTCTGTGGGGATTTTGAGTGCTTTTATTTTGTTTTATTTGTATTTTTATGCACTAGATTACCTCAAGATCTCATGATTCAGATGAAACTGATGAAATCGCTCAATGGTTATCTAGTCGTCAACTTATACCTGTAGATGCACAACATCAGGAGCCTAATCGTCAACTTTATGATCGTCAGCAGGCAAATGCATTGAGTTCAAACAGTCGATCTCATCATCGCCCAATGTTGAATCATTCAACCTCTGCTTCTTCACGACTCACTACTTCTGTCGTTACGGCTGCTACTCCTATTAATCCGACTATTGGTGGTGCTTTATGTTTACCATTATCCACAACACATTCACAAAGCACATCAAGTAAACCAACTCAAGTAAGTGTGTTTAAATCTAAGCATAACACTCTCTTTGGTAAAATAACTCCTAGAGTGTAAGCAAAAATTGAGATTCCAATTGTGGTGGCTGGTAATCTGAAGTCCTATGAATTTCCCTATAATACAACAGTTGAAATTTCTTTAAATTAAAAAGTGACGGTCCATTTCACTTATTTTGTTACTCAGCTAAGGAACCTTCAACAAAGCTCACTCACAGACTTACTTCACTTGGATTATGTGATCATGTCGGAATCAATTACCTTTTAGGATAAGTTAAGCTTTGAGCATCAGTAAGTACCAACCGTCAGATCACGTTGAACATGCCAATAAAAGAATAAAGGCGATTTTTACATGAGAAATACATATATTCTTGAAAACGATGAATTAAAAGGCATGAAACTGTAACACAGGATACGTGTCTCTGATGTGTGACAGAAATGCCTGACAGTTTTGTATTGAAGTGTCAACAGAGTAATATAGCTAAATCGTAGACATGCATTCTTCCAGGTTTGCTAACCCTAGCCCTAACCTTAATATTTCCTTAACGTAACCCTAACGGGAAAGTTGACCTAAACTAACCTAAATCTAACTTGAACCAACCCTGATATTTCCCATATAAGGTTACCATAACACTAACATGTCCTTATCATAAACCTTAACTTTATTTTTCCCGATCCTACCTAAAACTGCCTATATATCCCGTTTGATATCAAAAGACCTAAATAAGCTTATTTTATTCATGATTATAATATTATTTGCCTAGTTTCACCAACTTGCTCAATGAGCGTTTCAAGGCCCTTGGTGTGTTCGCACTCCACTGAAACTTACTGGTGCTTAAAGCTTAACTTGTCCAGCCAATGATATTTATGTATAGGGTCATAGTTGTTCATTAGCATGGATGACTAAAGTGTCTTACGCATGCGTTACCTCATCTCACTCATCACGACTGCGTTTCAAAACATGAGAACAATTCAAAAGATGAATATTTGACTAATACTGAATCCCAAGCGTTCTGGGGAATCAGTTGTCTTTCAATTCGATTTTATCATGTGCTAACATTAGCTGGTTTTTCATTCAAGACTAAAACAAGCAGTGAATGGCTTTTTTTTATCTTAACTTAAAGTTGTATGGCAGAGTCATATTTCCAGCTCATTCAGGAAGCAAGATGTCATCACTCAGGCACATTAGGTCATGATGTTCGCCGTGCGATTCACTGCTGTCAGATGTGAGATGTTACTTCAGGGCTGGACTGCACAAACTCATAACTTAACGGCAGGAAATGAAGTGGTATAGCGTGCTGACCACTTTAAGTATTTTGGAATTTGCATTAACCCCTATGAACTGAATGCTGACGAAATTTCATCACAGATATAAAAGGCACGTCTGGTATTTGCCAACCTACGTTATTTTTGTCGTAAATGTGATATCCGACTATCGATCAAAGGGCCGTGTGCATTACACTACAGTCTCCCTGTCCTCTATAATAGCTGTGAGACATAGCCAATAAAATGGAAGATATCAAAGGGCTAGTCGTTTTGGATCATAGATGTCAGTCTTCTGTCTTCCATAGTAGAAGGTGTAAAATGGCGAGTAGTATTGCAGTTAGACGTCGAGTGTTAGGTAAGGAAAGTAAGTCAATCAATTAGGTTGTGAAGGTGAATCGAATGAGATAATCGGAGATCGTTGTCGATGGTTCAGGTGCATTTACTCCTTTTGATCTCCCATATCGAAGCTTATGCCCCCCCCCTCGCCCACCTTTTTTGTTTTCATTTGTGTGCTACATCGAGTGTTGTAACTTGAACTGCTGCAGTTCTGTGCAAAGTTTTACGATAAAAGTCAATAAGTCAGTCAATCAGGTCATGATAGATTTATTCTTTATTTGATTGGTTATGGGTTAATGAAATTCACTCATTTCCGATATATATTCATCATCAGGTGAAATACAAAAAAACCTGTACGGAAAATCGGTATTTATAATCTTATATTTGTAGTTTACTGCATTTTCTTCCCGAAAGCTTAGTAATATTTTGCATATATAAAACCCATCGGTACATAAAAATTAACTGTGTTTTACTATTTTCTGTTTTGTTCACTTTTATTCAGTATATGGCATATTTAATTTGCATACAATTATAAATTGACTTACAGTACAAATCATATCGTGTCCCTTCTTCTTCCTCTTCGTCTTCTTTATTATCCTTACTCTCAGTCTATCTCCCTCTTTCTATCTTTCTGCGTCTATATGCGTGTGTGTGTGTGTGTGTGTGTGTGGTATTGTCTGTTTGCTATCCTACTTATTCCGTGTTTATCATGAATATACCCTACCACAGTTGTTTGTAAATCTTGTTCCAATGCATATTCCTCTAGTAATTACAGCGTTCCCACTGTCTATTGCCAACCCGGTAGTTTTATGCATATATATATATATATATATGCATATTCATATAGCGTCTATATTCCCGTCTTGTTTCTTCTTCAACCTTTATCCTAAGATTTTAGTCATCCACAATTCATGCATCCAATAATTATTTATGTACTCACTGTTTTTTACTATCTACCTTTTTTTGTCGCAAAGATAGTAAGCCTAATTCCTTTCGTGAATCTTTCCATCATTTCTTTTTATACAATTAGAATTTATCAGACTCTCTAGAAGGAGGAAAATAAATGAATGAATGAATGAATGGATAAATAAATAAATAAATGAACGTTACTATTTATTGATTTTGGAGAAACATTTCTTACTAATCTCCATTATTCCTGAACCAGTTTTTGCACACGATAGTAAAAAGATATGCTAGTTTGAGCAAGTTTTACTTCAATGATGAATTGAAAGAAGAGCAGTAGAGAAAATCTAGGAGCTACAGGGAGCTGTTTTGTAAGAGTTTAGCATTTTTAAGAGCTAAAGTGTATGGGTATATCCTTGGGTTATCAGATAATGAGGCGAATAGTTTACCACACTGACTTCAACGACTTATTGTATGATTTATTAGTCGCTCAACCTAGTTGTTTTGAGTTTACACACATACGTCAGTACTACAGTAATAGGTGTCCTAGACTTTTCACTTTTCGATGCTTCTATGACTTATTTTATTTTTTAACAAAATATCCCTTAAAATAATTCAAATTCCCACAGGTGAGATGAGATTAGACAGCTTTATTTTTAACAGAGATATTGGAATATGAAAATATTACTCTGACTATGATTAAATAAACAAGGATTATTATAATTTCCTCTAATTCCTAGAGGAACATAGGGCTTCAGCTGCGCACCTCCATTGCCTTCTGTTTTCTGCCAACTTTTTCACCCCGCTCCAAGTCTGCCCACACGACCTCATCTCCTCTTCACATGACCTCCTCCAAGTCACCCTCACACCGACGACCAACTCGCCGCCTCCCTTTCGGGTTCCAATCGAGCAATGACTTGTCTAGTGATGTCACTTGATGGTTTCCTCAGCGTATGGCCAATCCATCTCCATTTCTTCCTGCCTATTTGTTTCACAATCGGTTCCTGTTGTGTTGGTTCGACACCAGAGATCCCTGTTTCTGATCTTTTCTGACCGGCCATCTGATCTTGAGTACTGAGCAAAGACAGTCGTTAATGAAGGACTGTAGTTTGTTTGAGATGCTCTTTATGACGAGCTGGCCAAGTCTCTGATCCGTATAGTGAGTAGCACTGACTTCACATTGGAGTTGAAAATCCGTATCATATTTTTGATGCTGAGTGGGGCTGTTGACCTCCACACAGACTAAAGAGTAATGAAAGCTTGTCTTGATTTCGCGATTCTTGCTTTGATATCCTCGTCAGTTCCGCTTGTAGTTGAAACGATGCTTCCCGGGTAGGTAGGTAAAGGAGGTTGTTTCTTTCAGGTTTCTCCCATTTATGCTGATTGTTGTCTGCTGTTGTTGTTGCTGTTGGTGTTGGCCAGGAATCTTCATCACCTCTGTCTTATCTATGTTCACATGAAGTCCTAACTTCTCTGGATGCTTCTTGTTGCTTTTCACTTGCATATCATCCAGTTTGTGGGAAATCCAACAATAATTGAAAAAGTATTTTACGTTAGTGAGTTTCCTAGATTATTGTGATCACATTACAAATTGAATTTAGTCAACAACAATAAAGCTTGAACACATCAGTGATTATTTCCTAGTTATATAAGTCAGTCAGTCAGTCAGTGCAATTACTATAACCGTTATGTCAGCCTTTTAAGTAAGAAGTTTGTCATATTTGGCAGTTTATTGTATTCGTATAAGTGTTCTGATAAAAGGTTTGAATCTGATTCTAAATCTATGAATTGGTGAGCATAGGTACTTTAGTTTATGGTACAGCTGAAGATGATGGCTGTCTCAGGCATTATTGCTGGGCTCTTGCACTTTCCAACTTTATAATCTAATTCCATCTCTATGTCTTTTATTTACATTATTTATTACTATGTTGGGTGTGAATTTACTCAGATTTACTTCACCTGTGTTATGTTGTTTGTTCATTTAATGTCACTTTGATGAGGTGATTGATATATTGACAATAAGAGGAAAAGAAAACGACATATGACATTTTGTCATATCCTGGGGTTGTTAATCTCTATATCAATCTAACTGAATTTGTACACGCGTAAATAAAAGACAATAGATAGCTTTTACAACTGTTGTCTTTACCACTATTTATATATAAAGGATTAAACACCTGTCAAATCAAAACTCTAGACACGTCTAGACACGTTTCTTTCCTATGGGTTGATTTGTGGAAAGAATACTGTTGACTGCATGACGTAAAACTAAACAACACTGAAGTAGTTATTATTCTAAAAAAATTCCGGCCAAATCAACTGCCCACAAGATGTATATCTGATGTAATCATTACAGCTTCATAATCACACTGATAAACTTGACTAGATTTGTATAAATTAAGTAACCTATTTCTTTATAACAACCAGTATATTATTACTGCATTTCCCATGATCCCGACAACAATAGTTCAGTTATTACATTATTGTATAGAAGAG